ATCTCAAGTGGGCTCAAAAGGGGTTGGGAGCCCCCACTCTACCAAACACTCTCAACCATATAGAACAAGCCATTCCTTCTCATTGACTACATTAGAGGACCACTTATTTATTAATTTTTTAGATTTTCAATCAATTGCAATCATTCATTTACTAGACAAACACTCTCTCAAGTGATTTAACAACATTTGTATCACTTTTCGTATTTATTGTTAGTTTAAATAATTTATAATTTATAGATTGAACATTGAGTTCCTCTTTTTAATAGTAATCGAGTCACAAGTTTTGCATTAATTAAATGCAGAAACTATTAAGAAATTAAAAGTCAATTTATAGACTTCAGGGATAAATATTTTGACCATTACTCCAATACATGTTATATAAGAATTAAGTACAATATTATCAAAATTATTGTTTTCAATCGACTAGCTACAATATTTTTAAATTATACATTTATTTAACTATCCATTCGTTTTGATGTTTTTTAATCAAATATTTCTTTTAGACGAAACATCGGTTTTACTACAAATTACTTTTTATTTTTATACAATTGATTGAAAACAATACTTTTGATAGATTTAGTTCTTATATATTGTGATTTGAAATCTGATAATCTGATTGATATATTCATACTGTATTTGAAACTTATATTCAATTCAATCGAATATCACTATTGCCATTCATTTGTGCCTCAATTTTAAGGACTTGTCTTAGTTTAATGATTATCTTAAATGAGATTAAATTTAGGGCACAATTAATGCACATTTATATACAAAACAATCCTAAATGAATGAGACTTTAATCTCTGAATATTAATTGAATATATTTACAATTTGTTAAGACTAAGAAATTTATATTCAAACTAACCAAGCTATTAATTCTATAAATATTATAAATATATTAGATGTTAGATATAAAAGCAAGAAATATTTGGCAACAAATGGTTATAGAATTTAAATATTTGTAAAATTATTACATATTTATGAATTTTAAGATTAATTTCAATGAATTTAAACATAAAGTTTTAAAAACTACTGGCAATCAATCAAAAGCGGTTTAGTTTAGCTAAATAAGCGTTTGTTAATGTATTTAAAGACGTTTCAAATGTTTAGAAATCTAGTCATTTAGCGAATGCAATGAATTCTATGATTCTCAATACAATTATTAATATTTATATTACAATATATCATATTTTATGATAAATGCAATTAATTGTTTGCACATAAATATCTATTTGTTTAGACATACAGTATTTAATTTGATAGTTTTGCTAATTTAGCAATCTTTGAGCTTAAAATTATTGCCTTTCATTAAGCGCATCAATAATTACTAAAGTTATCAAGTGCTTTTCATATTTTAATAACATTGTAATACCATTAGAAATATAAATTGTTTTCTAATTCATTACTGACATTTGTTTAAAAATTAATCCATAGATAATTCTTACAAGCTAGCACAAATTTATTGCTACTCAGATTTAGCAAAATTAGTTAAAAATTATATTTATTAACAAAGCTATTCTCTATAAGTGTTATGTATTTTTCCATGACTTGTGAGTAAAAATTCATAAACATAAATCGATAAGAATTATTATGAGACCATGATCATGATAATATTGTATTACTTATATGATTTATAGTATAATTTATACTGCATTTATACAAAATCTATATTATAAATTATACCTTACAATGCCTTTTGGATTATTTGAGTAAAAATCAATGAAAACTCTAAATAAGGAATATTTAAACTAAATTATAAATACCTTTAATACTATTTTAATATCTTAAGTCTTGAAAATTTTAGACTTGAGAACTATATTTTAGTTTCATCTACTTTTTTAATACATTTATCAGAAAACTCTTTTTAAAAATATTTAAACCGTAAAAGAATATAAATATAGTTTGTTAAGTTTATTCTTAGTCATATAAATTATTATACCCTACTTATATTATTAACAAAACTAATTTAAACTACCTTTGACATTAAGCTGCACATATATTTACCTGTTCATCTTTATATTCTGGATAAATCTAAAGAAAATGTTAGAAATGTTATAGAAATATATAATTGAATACAATTGGAGGTAACTATCAACAATTGATATTGTACAATTTGTACTCAAGTTATTTCCATACATTTGTTATAAATGATTTTGAATGCATATTGGTCATTCAGTCATTTAATTTGACAATTACTTAATTGATTATTGATGTTTACTATTAAAGCATAGATAGTATAAGAAATATATGCTAGGTAATACTTCTACTAATTAAATTGCTTTTAATAAGTTACAACTGATGTCCATTTTTGATTATATAAATGATTGAATTTAAACGCAATTTAAATTTGAAACATATTGTGATTAATAATCGACAACTAATTACATGAATTATAAAACGAAACTTGTATTAAGACTGAAAATGTATTTAAGAAATATTTTCTGAATCTCGTTTACTAGTGATTAATGTGTGCCTCAATTAATGCATTCATTTAATTGTATTTGTTATGTTTTTGCAAAACATTTATCAAATAAAATCAAATTTATTTATAGAAAAATTCACATTTGTTTCAAATCAGTGTATTTTATTGTTCAAAACCAATTCAATCTTAGAAATATAACAATGAGTGGATTATAATAAACGTAAGTACAGTATAATATAACTGGTGTCCACTCATGAGTTGGTTGTATCAACACTAAAATCCAAAGTACAGTACATATTAAATATTTGCATAAAAATGACAACAATTCGTATTTACATTAAAAACATTAATATTAAAACTAAATTAAAAGGCAATTATTGGCATCATTTGTATTTCACTCCAAAATAATAGGATATTTGCAAACAATTCAATTGAATTGACATTTATTGAAGTTTTCCAATCAGTGGTCTCCGGTTACCACTCTTTCCTCCTCTTCGTCGTCATCGTCGTTATAGTCACGCGACGGCCGGTGTTTCAGATAGCATTCATCCAAACCATCGATGTCCTCATCGCTTAAGTCATAGTCGGGTGAGACGTAACTCTTCTCTAAAACGCGCCGAAGATCTGTCTGACTGTCCGATCGGTTGTCTCTATAGCTGTAGAAATCGATTATATCGTCCGACACTTCCGAGTCGTCCGGATAGTCATTGTAGGCGTAGTTCTCGTCGTTCTCGTCGTCCTCTTCATCACCGCATTCGCGCCATTCGTTCCCATTATCGCCGGCAAGGGATCCGTCGTCTTCGTAGACGTATATGTCATACAAGTAGTCCAAAGAGTCGTTCAATTGGTTGTCAACGGCTTCTAACGGCTGTCCATTGCATGTGATAACTGTCACCACAAACACAAACATTAGACACCATTAGACATATCATACAGATATTCATCAGGAATACAGACTGTCTTTGTGTTTGTCCGATGGGAACACCTCTTCGTAGTCCAAGATCTTGATGGTGGTGTCAATGGTGTGGTCGGCCACCAGACTGGGAGGTAGTGGTGTATTGGATGTCTTCAGCAACTGGTATATGTCGGTGTCTTCGGCCGAATGACTGGTTCCCACAAATTTGCATCTTTTGGCCGAAAGTGTCTTCTCTTCGTCTGCCCTTCGCTTCACACGAATGAGCGTTGGTTTCGGCGAAATCATTGACGACATCGTCGAAGACATCTATGGGAATGAATGGACAGATGAGTGGTGTGTGGATCAGATGGGAGACAAGAGATTGCAGACAATGTTTGGTCTAATCATTGATAATTTGATAATCAGTTCAACACTACTGTCACACAAATCACGTCTACTTTCATACACTTTATGCCAAACAAGCGTTCAATGAATGAATGAATAGTGAATTGCTTTCAGTATTTCATTTAATTTGGACTCAATTGTTATAATAGTGTCTAATGTTTAGCCGATTAGATACTTATTTAATCTCTATTTTAACTCTTATTTTTGGATTATTTTCAGTAATAAAAAATTGTCTCATTTCTCACAACTCATTATTAACTATAGACTATACTGTAGAAGAAAGTTATTATATTTGTTTTATAATACGCTTAAATGATAATAAGTTTGAATCATGAAAAGACATTTATCAGAATTAATATTAAATAACTATATTTTATGTTTAGTCACTCAAACATTGAATATATGAAAGGTTTGAAGCAAACCAATCATATTGTTAACCAATTCTAGAGGAATGAATCCCAAACTTACTAAATAAGGCATCCCTTCAATGTATGAATTATACTAATTCTTAGTTTTCATTCATTTAAAGAATCCGTTTTGTGTCATATTTAAGATTAATACATGGATTATAATTATATTTATGTTAATATCTTATAATACAATATCATCCAAAATAATCATTTAATATTATTAAATGGATTGCAGACTTGAAAGTCTAAAGATTAGTTCCTATATTAGATATTAGATGCAAATCAAACGATTACATGTTATTTGCAATGATAATGTCAATATATATTATATTTACATATTGTTGATCAAGTATAATTCAATGAGTTTGAACGCAATCCTAATTTCTGAAATTGTATTAAAACTGAAAATGTATACTGACTAAAATCCCACACATTAGTGGCATTAAGTTTACAGAATATACAATTTCAAAAATAAATCAATTGAAATGTTGATACCTAATACTGTACTGTATATAAATTTATATTTAACTTTGAATCAAAAATGTCATATATCAAATTGATCAAGTATATCCACACTATTGGAGACGCAATAATACTATTTTGTTTAAAAATAACATAAGATTTGGCGCAATAGTAGAAAGCAGTGAATACAATGGATTTACTTTTGAATACTTATGTATTATAGTGATTTGTATGTATGAATTAAGTGCGAGATTATATAATATAATAACATTTGTATGAATAGACAAAGAAAGTGATAGTTAACCCAATTTGGTGATAGAGATCTTGAAACTTTATGTAAAATCAGTTTAAATGACTCATTACTGTCTATATATTCCCGAAATTAATCATTTCATTTGAATCATTAAAATGTCAATTCCTTGTATTGTTTTAAATAATATAATACTTTTGAAAAAGCATCCCATCGTTAGTGTAAATAACACTTAAAGGAATGTAAATACAATTCATTTGTTTAGATATTCTTTAAAACAAAACACAATACATTTGTTGAATGAATTGAATACTAATTTTATGATAAATGTATACAGTATTACTGTATATTATGTATTATAGTTAAACACTATTTGATTATAAAGACAAATGACTTTTTTATTAAAAGTACACAAAATTAGATAACTTTAACAAAATATGAGTATTCATGTTTAGTGGTCACTATTTAGTGCGCAAATATTTATAACAATTATTTGATTGGTTTATAAATTAATTTTTAATTTTTTTATTATTTAATACATCGATAGGAATGGATCCCAAATAATTTGAGAGCAAAAAGTAATTATTGTTTTGGTGTTGTGTTCCAAATGATAAGGAAAATATAGTGAAATGTCGTGCCTATAGAAAGTTGTTTTAATGATTTATCAGTTAATTTCAAGGCTTTCCACTATATTTATGTGATCTAAAGATTAAGAAAATGAGTCAAAAATTCCTTAAATTATACAATTAATTGTTCAGTGTTTCTAATGAATAGAGGTATCGATTATTTATACTATTAAATGCGCGAAATGACCAAAACTGTAAATATTTATTGCTTATTATTTTAATTATTATATATAAAGTTTATGTTATTGTCGTGTGTTTAATAAATTTATATAAAATTATCACTATTTCTGCCTAAAATGTACGATATCTCAAAGGATTTTCATATACTGTTTATAAATGGTTTAACATTGAAATTTTCATGCAATTTATTTTTGATAATTGTCTTACTAAACAATTTTCAATATATATTTTTCTTGTAAATATAATATAAATATAAGTTTAATTAGTTTTTATTATGACTTATTGAGTAATATTAATATAATAACAAGAAAATTAACAGTATTTAAAATATAGTATACAGTTATAGAGTGTAACCTATTTGTAATTAAAATTAACTTTTTACAATAAAAACATTTTACTAGAATGTAATTTTTATGATTTATATACCAAAATAATGTTTATTAATAAAATCAAAACAATAATTAATATAAATGGCATTAGAAATACATAATTCTTAAATAATAAACATGTTTTGTGTTCAATAGTATAGAATTACGTCAATACTGACGCCAAAAGGTAGCTCTCGATTGTTATCTCCAAAAGGGGTTTCCCTTTAAAACCTTAAAATAATTCATCAGTACATCTAATGAATGCAACAATAAATACATGATTTTTTACATTGCTATATTTAAATGATAGTCAGCAATAAACAAAACGGCATTAGAGTGAATATTAAACAGTAATATAATTAATTATTGGAAATCATTTGAATATTTTTCTTACTTATCATGAATAATTAAGTAAATTCAATAAACTTTGAAAACATTATTACTTCTTATAAAATAAATGACTTCTAATAATATATGAATTTTATAAACATGATCTGAAATAACATGAATATTCCGGTTCAGCTGTATGTGTAGTAAATAGATATTAAAATCGATTTTTAGAATTTTCTTAATTTTATTCAACTTTTTTACTAATTATAAAAAAAATCTTTCAGATTTTTACAGTACTAATTAGTGTTAATATTATTACAGTATTTATATATTTTTATAATTAACGTCATAATTGATAATTTTAAACACTTTTTTATTAAATTGAAATTTTTATTATTGAATTGAATTGAATTATATACACAACTATTTAAATATCACTTTTTAAAAATGTGATAACAAATCTGGTTATACTGAATATTTTTAAGTAAAATCAAGCCTTATTTATTAAGAATATTATAAAAGCTTTGATAGGAATTGCAACTTATTATTAAAATGAAATTAATCATAAATAACTTTAAAATGAAATTGAGTTGCATTCAAATATTTCATATTTTTATATATAAATAATTTGTAACGTAACAAAAATTTTATTATTTAAAATACAATTTTAAATCAAAACAAATGATTAAAACCATAATAAAATTTTTGAACATTTTGTTTTATATTTAAAATTAATTTTAATAAAACCTATTTAATTATTAATTTATTATCAAAGTAAAATCCATTTATATTTATTTAAATCTCATGATATAATTACAGTAAAAAAGTTTTATTTAATGATATATTTATATTAAAATGAAATTAGTTTGAGTGCAAATTTGATGATCTCTTTTAATTGACCAAAACATGAGTTTTCAAGATATAATGTATTGAATTTCCATTTCGTAAACCCAATGCCAATAAAATGCTATTTTCAATACATATGCTTTAATTTGTTGAAGCTCAATTAAAACCTAAATGTTGACAAAATAAAATATTAATATTAACTAATCAAATAATATTACCTTATTTCTTCATATTATATGTTTAATTATAATAACTAGATATTAATACAGTTTATTTAGCAATCATTAATATGGAAATGAATATTTGATTATTAATTATATGAACATTTACATTTATAAAAAGAGAAACTGGGTACAAAATTTTATACGCAATTGGTTTTTAAAAATTAATTCACTTTCTAAATTTATTTATAAATATCTACAAATCAATCATAAAACAATAAGTTTTGTTAAATTTCTTTATAAATTATGTTAAAATAATTGTTTTTGTTTATTTGATTAAAAGATCGATACACATTTTCTCAATTAGTATTAAATTGAAAAAAACTAATTATAATTTCATAAATTTGGCACAAATTAATTTTTTTAAGTTTATGATTATTTTAATTTCATTACTAACATATTAAAAATAAACTCGTTTTATTTAAAAAATATTTATCCATTAAAATATTAAAGACATTTCAAACGTGAAATGAGAAAACTGTATTTATCATGAAAATCATATTACTATACAGGTAATATACAGTTACTGTTATCCCATTTTATCAAGTTTTCATAAAATAAAGATAATTCATTTATTTTTCAATACAACAATTTTTGGATTTAAATATTGAGAGTGAATCTTAAAATATATTATTTATAAAATCAAAAGCTCTTTAATTTTAAATACAAAATAAATGTTTGTTATTTAAATTAAGCAAATTTCTACTGTATAAGATAACTACTACTTTATAATTAAATAAAGTTAGCAACGGACTTATAGATCATCAATTATACTATAAATAGTATATAAAATTAGTACAAAAATTCAAAATAATAGTCCTGTGACTTATATAGAGCCAAATTTAACTATTTAAATTTTTAATACTATTTAAATGTTTTAAAATTCTTGGTATTATTCTTTAATATTATACTAATCTAATCACTCAATTCCCATCAAAGTCTTTAAGCCATTTGAATAATTATTCACTTTTTCTACAAAACATTATAATTAATTAATTAAAAGAAATATTGATTAAATTATAATTAGCAACACTTTTGTTTTAAAATGTGTAAAAGAAATATTCATCTAATTTTGGTTTTATTTAATGTTATTTAATAAATTGCCTTTATTACGTGCAATGTTAATATTTTAGGTTGAATTTTATTTAAATAATTATTGTAGTGTTATATAAAAATATTACGATGAATAATAGTTTTAATAGTACTGTATAATAATAAAAAATTATCAC